AGTTGGAGGAGAAAATAGAGATTTTGAAGTCAATGGCACATAAATAAAGCAGTGAAAGAGAGTCTGGAAATACTGTTTTCGAGATACCAATAATGACTAGTCTGAGAAAACAGAGCTACCGAAGGGTACTGTGAAATGCCAGTGTCACAAGTGAGAAGCCACAGAGTGTAGGGCAGGGGCAGCTGGGGGACTCAAGGGCTGTGTTGTCTGATGCTGTATGGTGAGGTCATGAAGCCACAGCTAACCAGTGCCCCTGGGACTCAGGCATTGCTTGATTAAAAACTGGGGACAGTTTTAATGCTGTGATGGGAACTGAACCTAGTCTGCAGTGAGTGAGTAGCTGATGGGAATGAGATGGAGGGAGTAATGAAGAGTGGAAACGGAAACTGGAGAAGAGTGAGGACAGCAGCTGGCAGGGAGCAGAGTCAGGGAGGGGTTGCTTTTGCTTGGGCGAGACAAGAGTGCTTGCTGTTCATCCCCCATAGTGGCCAGGGAGGAGAGGCTGAAGATAGAGGAGCAGTGGATGCCTGAGAAGCAGAAGGGATGGGATCCAGAGTAGTGGAAGTGCTAGTAGTCTGGGATCCCAGACTGAGAATAAGATGGAGAATGCTTATAGGTGTTGGTAGCATGGTAGATCTGATTGCCGTGGAGCCCAGGGACTTGTATAAAAGCTTCTGGTCACTGTGAAGTTAAAATATGAGGTCATTTGCTTAGAGGGGGATATCTGGGTAAGAGGCTTAAGGAGCATGTAGGTGAGATACTTACAGAGCATTATAAAAAGGATTGCCTAGGGACCAGCAGTTAGCGTAATGGCTATATCACTGGACTCCCATGTAGTCGACTGTGGTTCGAGTCCTGGACCTGGTGGCTTAAACTCACGCCAGGCCATGTGTGCGCATGTGCCCAAGATCCCGAGAGGAGAATGGAGGAGAAGGGATTGCGGTGTGGCCATTTCCCCTGGTTGGGGGGGTGATTTCTCGCTTTCTATATCTCTGTCTCTGTCTTTCTGGCGAGCACACATGCCCTATAGCAAAAACCTCTCCAAAAAAAAAAAAATATCAACAGCTCTGGCAAACAGAAAAGGTCCTGCTTCTTGCAAAAGAGCCCACTGACCTCTCCTATTATGTCTTTGTTAGGTCTATC